CTCCCCAAAACAATGTTTCCAAGGATCCTGTGCCAGACACACTCTTAAGCACCCGAAATAGCCCCATTGTCTTCTTGTGTAACATCCAGGAATTTGGTGAAACTCATCATTTTTCAGGTTACCGATAATGCAAGTCTGGAAACTGAAACAGGAAGGAACACAAGCTGAAAAGGCTTTTATCCAGCCCACAGCATTTCTCTCTCCAGATGCAATAGTTTTTTTTGTTTTGTTTTGTTTTGTGTGTGTGTGTTTTTTTCAGCCATACTTTGGTGGGGTTAAAATTAGCTGGCAGCATTCTGGTCACATGCTAGACAGCAAAACAAAAGGGAGTTGTTCCGCCACAGCTCCTGAAGCAGCCCCAGCAGACCTTACTAATCCACGGGCTTCTGGGACGCTGCCTCTTCAGGGCCCGGCGCAGAGGAGCCGCCCCACCGTCGCCCCTTTGTTGTCCACCCACTGTAAAGGGGCAGAGCATGGGCAGTGCCAATGCTGTTTGCAATCGCGGGGCTTGCCTCCATCTGGGAAGGCACTCAAGAGCCCCAGAATGGCTTTTGCAAATCTTCCCATTTGGAAGAGGAAGGCTGAAACAAAAAAAAAAGGAAGAACTTTTGAAGCCAACAAATAAGCAAATACCACAAGGACATGAAGAGAGAGAGAGAGCGAGAGCGAGAGCGAGAGAGAGAGAGAGAGAGAGAGAAGGGTAGTGTCTGAAATGTGAACGCAGGCATCGCCTTCTGGGGGAATGGGCTGCTCTTGGCATGGTTAACGCGGGGAAATCACATATCCGCACTATGTGCAGCCAGCTCCGCGGACAGATGATCTCTGGACCCTGATAATAAAGGGTTCCTCAGGATCTGCTTTGTTCTTCCAGCTTAAAAACTGTCACCAGAAGCCCTGGATGAAAAATACAGCTTCTGATTCATGCGCACAGTCAGGAAGCATCCCTTGCTCAGTACAGAAACTTGTCGGTCAACCTGGGGAAGGAATCACCACCACGAAATGTGCTTTGGCTTGCCAAAGCTCAGGAGCTTCCAGAGCCAAAACCCCAGCTGCCTGGATTGTCTGGAGAAGGTGGGGGCTGGGGCGAGGGTGGGAGGAGGGGTGGGGAGAAAGCAGGGCTCTCCGAATCACCTGATTTCTACCCCCCAATTCCGTCCTGTTTAATTCCAAGCTAAACCCACCTCCAAATATTTAATGGGCCAATTGATCCTAAAAATCGCGTTGAACACTACCCCTTCCAGCTCTGTGCCTGCTGGCAAGGTGAAGCAGATGGCTTCTATCGATAAATGTATTTACTTGGAAGGGGCTGCTTGAAGTCAGGAAATGCCAGGGAGACGAGTGTGCGTGGCTCTGGCCAGAATTGCCGTGACAATCATAAGCAGACACCCAGACAGTGTCAGGTTGAAAGAAATCGCAGCTAAGCCCCAGGAACCTGGGGCATTTTCCATCCTTCTCCCGTCTGGCCTCCTTGTCAGCCGTACACTTATGAAGAAATACCTCATTTGGTTCAACATTCTGTGGTATTCAAAGGTTTGTATGAGCCATGGAGGGCCCGCTTTCTCAAAAGGGGTTCATAAACCAAACAGGCCTCTCTCACTTGGACCTCATCCTGAGGCCCTCATTATCTAGACAGACCCAAACAGAAACTCCCACTGCCTTGGAGCCCAGCACATAAAATCCTCTTTAATACACACACACCATTTTTTTTTCCAGTGGAACGGCCTCAAAGTGTTAAAAGTACATAAAGGTCTGAAAGCTGAAACCCTAGATAAACAGTGTGCCGAAATATATTTAGCAGAAAATATTGAAAGCCACAGGAAAAATATGTTCTCTTCCTGGGATGTTAACAAAGGTTTAGGTTCAGGAAACCTTCAGGAAATAGCGCGTTGGGTTGAGGAGGACT